TGTAGCCGGTGCTGTTGGTGCTCGAGAGGTGCAGGCGCAGCCCCTCTGCCTCTTGTGCCACTGACGCAGCCACTGACGGAGCCTCGGCGAATCCTGCCCGCACCTGCTCGGCCGCCCTCGGCGAATCCACAGACGACGACGGCAGCTCCGCCGGCTCGGCGAATCCTGCCCCCGCCTGCTCGGCCGCCCTCGCGTAGGCCACCGCCGCCTCCACTGCCGTGCAGTAGGTGCCGATGTAGACGCTCTTGCAACCCTCTCTGCGAAACGCATGGAAGCGGCGAGAGGCGCGATGGATCGACACGCCCGTGTAGCCCGTCCGGCTGCTGCTAGACAAGTGCAGTTGAAGCCCCTCCGCCACCGCCTGCACCGGTTTCGGTGCCCCTTCCCGCTCGCCAACACAGCACGCCGCGCAATACCACTCGCCGTCTGGAACAGGCACGCCCGGCGGCAGCTCGAAGTCGCCGTCGCAGCCGTCGCAGACGATCGCCGTCACAATCTCGTCGGGGTTTAGCGCGGGCTCCGGTCCTGCCGCCGGCGCCGCCGCCTCCTCCCCAGCCCCCTCCTCCTCGCCCTCCTCTTCCTCCTCTTCTGTGGGTGCGGTGGGTGCGGCGGCGGCGGTAGCGGCGGAGGAGGAAGAGGAGGAGGCGGCGGGAGGGGTGGTAGAAGAGGCTGCCGAGAGTGCGACGGCGGCGGCGTGGCTAGAGCGTCGCTTCGGCGCGGGCGCGTCGGTCGACTCGTTCTCGCCCTCGCCCTCGCCCTCGCCCTCCTCCATGGCGCCCTCGATCCAGTTCGGGCCAGTGTGGCCCATCACCACCTGTGGCAATCAATCGATGTCAAAGGGTGTTGAGGCGGTACATCGCTGGGGATCTCTCCAAACGTACCCGGCAAGTGTGAATCGTCCGGTGCGCAGCCTTGCACCCAGTGCACGCCAGCTCGAGCGGCGCCGCCTCTTGCGCCGTGTGCTGGTTAACCCACAACAGCGATGTTCCTGCTACCGACATTGGCCTCCCGCGCAATCCCTGTTGTCGTTCTTGGCGCAATCCTGGTGTCACCGCTGCAGCTGCAGCCGGCCGAGCCAGCGGGTCGGGTGCCTCCCTATGAATGGAGCAGTGGCGCCGCCCGACTCGGCGGCACACAAGGCAGTGGCGTCGCCCGCCCGGCCCTACCCCAGGGCCGCCTCCATCGCCGCCTCCATCGCCGCCGTCGCCGCCAGCGCCACACTCCACGCCACCCCCCCCCTTCTCCGCCTCCCCCTCGCCGCCGCCCAGACCGACGGACTCCTCCAGCCTCGCCTCCAGCTCCGCAACCGTGCCGCTCACGCGCAAGCCCGCCGCCCGGCAAGCCTCCCGCAGCGCCGGGTGGGTGGGGCCGCCCCGGCCGCGGAGCAGGTCGGCGATCGCGGTCGCGTCATCGGCGAAGCCGTAGTAGGAGAGGCCCATCGCCTGCGGGAAGGGCCGAGGAGGTTCAAGGGAAGGGTACCTCGGCCGAAGCCGTAGCAGGAAGCGGCCCAGCGAGCCTTGCACATCGCCTTGAGGGGTCGCGTCCCGAGGGGCTCGAGCCAAGAGAGGCCCTCCCCCTCCTCGGCCTCCTTCATCTCCTCCTCCTCCTCCCCCTCCTTTCCCTCGCCCTCACCCTCGCCCTCCTCCGCTCCTCCCTGCCCGACCGCCCGCGCGTACGCCACCGCCGCCTCCACCGCCGTGCCGAAGCTGCCCAAGTATAGACACGTTCCGTCCAGCATGTGCCGCGCGTTGAAACGGCCCCTCTGCATCTGCACGCCTCTGTATCCGGTGCTGTTGCTGTTGGAGAGGTGCAAACGCAGCCCCTCTGCCTCCTCGACCACCGACGCCGGCTCTGCCCCCTCCTCCCCCTCCTCCTCC